TCAAAAAGAGGATGCACAACACTTCTTAGGCTTAGGGGTGGAAATTGGGCAGGATGGGTCGGATTTTAGCACAACCCAAGCCCAACCTTAGGAATTGCACCTAAAGTCCAAGCATAGCCTGGGCTTTAGGTCAAGCTTGAGACATCCAACTTAAGCCTAACCTACACTAAAATTTGATGCACTTGGGTTGGGCTTGGGCTTGGGCCGGACTCAAGCTAGTCTATTAGCCCACATTAGAAATTGATATATACATATATACATATATATATATATACATGTATTTAATTAGTCTAAACTCAAATTAGAATAAAGTCGAGTAGTCTCAAATTAGATCCTGGCTACCTAAGGGTTAAGACTCGAATCTAGCCTAAAAAATTAAAAAAAGTCATTTTTTTTGCTACACTGAAAATTAATTGAAGCCTAGTCCATGCAAAATTGTGGGTTGGGTTGGTTGGGGCCAAGTTGCACCCCTACTTAGCATCTATGAGAAATCTAGGGATGAATTGAATTACTCAAAGGATATATCCTGGAAACCAGGGCTCATATTATCAATGTCTTGGATGATAAGCATTCAAAGGAGATATCTTGCTTAGCATTCATCTAAAATCTGAATAATCACCTTATCTAACCTTTGAAGGATGGCCACCTTGATTCCCAATAAGAGAAATTGATTTTAGGTCATTTACTAAAACATCCCTATAGTTTGTAATCAATTTATTTATTCGACCTACCATTAGATTACAGTGAAAAAGTGACAGTTTTGACCGTAAATTCCATTTGAATAAATTGTTGGTGGGTGTCGAATCCAACCAAAGATAAAAGTCCTACTCGAATTAAATATTTTTATAGATTGTGATGAGCAAGGTCGTCTCCTCAGGGATTGGGTTTGATTTATTTCCAAGAAAATAAAGTAGAGGGTTGTTGTAAAGATAAGGAAAATAAAATGAAATAAAATAAAGATTAAATCGATGGGAGGCAACTTTTGGTTGAAGAGATAAGTTTAGTTTTGATTCTTACCATTGATCATCGATGCAAGGGTGAATTCATCTACTTATGAATAAATTGATTATAGCCATTAACAAACTCTAACAGCCAATCTCTACTCGAATTTTTGGCAACCAAAACAAGCTCTTTGATTGCTTCTCTTATTAATAGATAGTCTTAAACAAACTCTTAAGATTTAATCTATTAATAGCATTAAGAGGGGAGAGACCCAATTCTGGTCAGCAAACACACAAGCTCGGATCGTTTAAACCAGATCATATATCCTTCTAACATAAATCGAAAACTTGTCCATAATCAATTTATGTTAGTTGCTACAATGATTAAACTGAACAATCATATACGAAATTGATGGTTTAATCGGCCATAGATTATTTTCATTGACTGAGCAAGGGATCATTCTTGCTTAATCAATAAAAATAATCTTCATAGGAAATCGCAAAAAACATATGAATACTCATAAACAATGAACTGAAATAAAAATCAATTAGATCTCACAATGTTTATAGAATCAAGCTTCCCTAACCTTCAACCAGAAAATAAAAGCTTACACACACTTCATGGGGAAATCGCAGCTTCCAGATGAGGAGGGCGTATTCTGCTTTCTTCCTCCCTTGCTTGCTGAACTCTTGTCTCCAAGATTGAGTGCCTTGAGTGCTAGTCGAACCCCCTTTATATAGCCTTAGGGGGAGGGGCTGTTTCCAACACCTCTTAGGAGTTCCTTCTCAAAAATAGAAAGTCTTATCTCCTAATGGGATAAGGCTTAACTCAGATCTAATCTTATCCTTATCTTTCTAATTAGAAATCCTAACTAAGATAGACTTTGACTCTCTTTCTTTTTAGGAGTACAACAAGAAATATAAACTCTTATCAAGAACTCTTGGTGACTCACGCCTCCACCTCAGCCGAACCCTACTAGGATTGATGGGACGCACTTCTTGCATGCTGAAATCGTACTACTAGGGTTGATGGGGCCCACTTCTTGTATGCTGAATTCGGATTGGTCTTCTCCCACGTGTTGAGGCTATGTTGTAGGCTCCTTTCAGCTCTCTTCCCAAATTGTGATTTTCTAATTAAAACACAACAAAATTCATTAATTAACTTACTAATTAAATAAGAAAAAATACAAATAATATGGAAATTATGCACACTATCAATTGTTTAATCAAAAGAAAATAAAAATGAAAATGCCATTTTTTCCCTAATATGACATGGGAAACCACACTATTAGGCCCTATTTGGTCAATTTTTCACTCAGCTAGGTGATCATGTTATTTTTTTTAGAGATGCCACAAACACTTGGAAAGGTCGACAATAGGTTACAAACTATAGGGGTATTTTGGTAAAATAAAAACTATAAAGTAGATTTAAGTAAATCCATTAAACTATAGGGGGTATTCTAATAAATAACCCATTGATTTTCTCACCTTTAAGGCTTTAACTAGTCATGATTGGTGCAATGCATGGGCTTTATTTATAAGAAAAATTGAAGATGGAGCTCATGACATTTCCAATTAAATGGTGTCCATCTAAGTTCAATTCAAGTATTATTTTTTGGGGTTATGTCTAGTTATCCAATCACAATCTAAGTTGCACTTTAGTGAGAGTGGCCAATTTCCTATCTCTAGATAAATTTGTATTATCTTTGTTGTATCTTAATGCTAATTCTTATTATTTTTTGAAAAAAATAATATTTTATTAGTTTTTATTGGTTTATTATTAATTTTGTCTTAATCTTAGGTAAAATTATGAAAAACACATCCTCTTATAACAATTCTATAAAACACCTTTATGTTTTGACCCTAACAGTGACCTCCCCTATAGTTTTGAGAAAAGAAGTGCAATACCTCCTTTCCCCTGGCTTTCTAGTAACAAAGACCTTAAAGATACCAAAATACCCTTATAATTGTTAAGGCATTATCATACATAATTTAAAGTTTCAACTTTACCATCTACTGATTTATTTTGCTAGACAATTGTCAAAGAACAATTCTCTTTACTCTTGACCAAAGTAAGGTAAAAAGGCTGAAGCGAAGTAAAATTAATGCATTACATCAACATTTTTTTTTGGAATGTTAACTAAAGGGAGGTATTTGTACCATTCCTCAAAACAATAGGGGAGGTTTTTTGTTAAGGTCAAAACACTTGGGAGTTTCATAGGATTGTTAGAAAACCCAAGGAGCTTTTTATAATTTTCTTTATTTTTAAATGGAATTTAAATTGATTTTAAAATAACAAAAAGATATTTAAAATTAATGCAAACCTGTCTAATATATAAAATCACTATCTATATATTAAAATGGAATGTGCCAAGTTGGCACTTTCGTGGTTTCTAGTTTCTTTTCAAAGTCATTTATTTTTTCTATTTTTTCTCTCAAAAGCATTTACCTTTTTTCTTTTTTGAATTTTATAACTTTAAAATTGAACAATAACCAATCACCTTTAAGCTTTTTAACACTCCTCATTAACTCAGCATTAACTCTATCTTTCTCCCTATTAACTCTTTTAATAATCTCTCATCATTAATTATGCCATTAACTCTCTCCTTCAATAACTAATACCACTAATTCTCTCTCATCTCCATTACTCCATTAAATTTCACAAAATTCATTAACTTTATCTATATCTATATCTTTTTCAATTTAACTAGAATAATATATATTAGATATATTTACATTAAACTGTAATTATTAGTAAAGATTAATTATATTGAAATTGAGATATTCAATGATATATTATTATGCTAAATAATCTACTATCATTTAAAATTATAATCCATTATATTCCATTTGAAAATAATAAAATTTAATTAACCATAATAAAAATAATTCAGTAAGATACTTAAATAAAATAAAAATAATTATTAATTATTGTTATTGATAAAAATATTTTTATTAATATAATAAAATGATAAATTAAAAATTAATATAAAACTAATACAAAAATATCTAACAATTATTAGTTTTGTAATTAACTTTTACTAATTTAAAACCAACTTAAGTTCCGCTAAAAAATAAAAGTTTAATATTATTAATTAAATTTTGTAAGGAATTTAAATTTAATAAAAACTTAATATACTTAATTAAATTGAATTTTTACTAATTTCGAAAATTAATATAAAATATTGATGTTAAATATAGTTTAATCATTTTAAATTAATTTAAATTCCATTTAAAAATAAGGAAATTTATAAAAAAACTTGATTGGGTTTTCTAACAATCCTATGAAACTTCCGATGTCTTGATCTTAACAAAAACCTCCCTTATTATTTTGAAAAAAGTTGAAAATACCTTCCTTTCTTCATCATTCCAAATAAAATATGTTGATGTAATGCATTAATTTTACTTCACTTCAGCCGTTTTGACTTGCTTTGTTTAAGAAGAGTAAGGAGAATTATTCTTTGAAAATTGTCTAACAAAATAAATTAGTGAAGAGTAAAGTTGAAACTTTAAATTGTATATGATAATGCATTAACAATGATAAGGCTATTTTGGTAATTACAATCTCTTTGTTGCCAAAAAGCCAAGGGAAAGGTGATTTTGGTACTTTTTTTTTTCAAAACTATAGGGGAGGCGATTGTCAAGGTCAAAACACAAAGGTGGTTTATAAATATGTTATTAGATGTTTTATATAATTTTACCTAATAATAATACAAAAGTAATAATAAACCAATAAAAACTAATAAAAAATATATTCAAAAAAATTAATTAAAAATATCATTAAAATAAAAAATAATAAAAATTTATCTAGAAAATAGGAAATTGGCCACTCCCACAAAAGCACAAATTAGATTACTATTGGTTAAACTAGACATTAACCCAAAAAGTAGTACTAGAATTTAACTTAGATGGGTACTTAATTGGAAATGTCATATCCATCCTTAGTTTTATTTATAAATAAATTGAAATGTATATATAGATAAAGCTAATGTATTTTATTCTATTTAAATGGAGTAAGGGAGATTTAAAGAGATTTGGCATAAGTTATCGAAGGAGAGAGATTATTAAAAGAGTTAATATGAAAGTGAAGAGAGTCAGAGAAATGTGGTCAAAAAAACCAGAAGATAGATGCCTTTGAGAAGAAAGGCGGATTAGGTTGGGAAACTGCTAAATTACTCCGGACCCCTTCCTGAAGAAAGCTGCGGTTCACCGGCTCTGAATTCTTCTACTAACCTATTGCACTTCTGCACAATGTGATACGGGCTGGCTTGCGTGTTGCTAAAGGGCATCTCATTTCTGGGTTTCCACAGAAGCCAGTACATGTAGGCTATGAATGTCAAAAAGGATACGGATTTCTTCGTCTGACAGCTCTCATATGCTTGAACTCGATCTGAGTGCTTCCTATCTTTCAGTTCAAGACTTCTAGTAATAAGAAGAAGCTCGGAATAGTACCAGCAATGGCGATGCTCAAACCCATCTCTTTCACCATCAGTTCCAAGAGAACCGGAAGGAGGAACCCTGACGACCCATCTCAAGGTGGACTTTTCAAACTAGTCTGCAATTCGTATTCTTGCAATAAGTCCAATTTACCTTCTTCTGAAGCTTCAGTTGGAGCTCTAAGACTGGTACATGAATTCAACCCGAAGATTCCCCTAGAAGAAGCTGTTACTCCTCCTAGTTCGTGGTATACGGATCCCTCGTTCCTTGAATTGGAACTTGATCGTGTATTTTATCGAGGTTGGCAGGCTGTAGGTAATTGATATATCTTCTCTGTTTGGATTGATGTGTTTCTCATTGCTTAAAAAATTCCCTCATCGCTTTTCAGTGTTACAATTGCATATATTAAGATAACATTTCATGAATTTAATTCTTGAACTCGAAACTCTCTGTGGAAGCAAACTGGTGTTGATAGTTGAGGATAGTTGCTTGTTAAATGTTGTCCACTATAAGAGTTTAATACCGTTTGACAAATTGGAAGGGATCTTTGTAATGAATGTTGCCAGTGTCAGAGTTTTCATTTAGTTGATGGGTTTTCTGACAGTAAATAATATAACTTTTAATTATATCCAATTGGTGGGGATAAGTGGCTAATGGATTGGATTTGGGTTAAGATTTTATAGTTTCTGATAAGGAGCCTGTGATTTTGATTTTATCTCCACAGTAGTACAGATTTTACCTTTTACAGAGATGGTATGTTTCTTGAAAATTAATGGTGGTACGTTTCCTTGGTCTTTTCTATGATTGTCAGGAGTCACTGAACAAATTAAAAATCCACATGACTTTTTTACTGGAAGGTACGTTTATCTTTCCACTTACCTCTGATCTGTTGTACCACTTCCATGCTCAATTACTGGAGACTGTTAATTTTTTAAGTTACCTTTTCATGAATGCTTTGTTACTACTACCACAGCTAAGATAATGACACCTGCAGATTAGGAAGTATTGAATTTGTGATCTGTCGAGATGGTAATGGGAAACTTCATGCTTTTCACAATGTCTGTCGGCATCATGCATCTCTTCTTGTGTCTGGCAGTGGGCAAAGATCATGCTTTGTGTGCCCTTATCATGTGAGTGCCTATGCTCAAACTATTTTGGTGCCATCATTTCATAGCATATATTGCTTTATATCTCCTTGATGTAATAGTTTAGTTCTTGTTATCAACTTAAAAGTTCTGTATTTGGTATTTGGTAATACTGGAAGCATTTTGTTTTTTAATTGGAAATGGCAACTTCATTAATGAAAATTCAGATTACAGCTGTCAACCCCTAGTATAGCGAGTTGAAACAAAAATGCAGCTGAATTACAACACTTCCCAAAACATATTCCGCCCTAATAGTCCGTTGTTTTGCCAAGGTATCCACTAGTCCATTTGCTGATCTTCTTGTCCACTTAAAGCATGCATCAATCTCTCTTGTCAGGCTGATAATTTCCCTTATCAACTGTCTATATGTCCAGGCTCCCAAACTTCCTGACTGCATCCATCCAAATACCAATTTTGAATCCCCTTCTATTTTGATTTGTTGTAGTCCCAATTGCTTGGTGTATCTTACACTTTGAAGTAATGCCATGACCTCTGCTCTCAAAGAATTTCCCACTCCTATTGGGCCTGAGAACAATGCAAGTATTCTGCCTTCTCCATCTCTGAATACACCCCCTATACCTGAGGGTCCTATACCATCAAAGTTCAACTTCACCCTATGTTGTATTGGCGGGGACCAAAGTTCTTGTACCACATGCTTGTGAGAAGTCATATTTGCTACAATACCCCAATTTCTATAAATATCTTCAGCTGGGGTGTCTTTAAACACATCAATTGTTTTCAACTAGTATCACTCCTACAACTTCCTCCTTGGGTCTAACCACGCTTAAAAATCCTGCTGTTTCTTTCCTCCCAAACTGACTAAAGCACCACTGCTCTTGTAGCTCTCCACATAATTCTTCCTCGCTTCTTCAATTGCCTGAAAAATGTTGGGTCAAAGAGGCCTACCACATCCAGGGGAGGGGTCCACTTGCAACCAAAGAGAGGAGAGAACCAAGACTAAATGAAGGACACAAAAGGACAGGGGATTAATAGATGTGTAATTTTCTCACTAGATCCCAAGCATAGTTTTCAAGGCGGCAAGGCGAGGCTAGGCAACAGGTGGTGCCTTGTTGCCTGGTTGCCTAGGCGGTGGATTTTTTTTTCAAGTAAAAAACATATATCCTAGGGTAGTTCCTTAGGTTCCATAACCATATTTCCTTAATAATTATCCATAATTTTCATAAGAAAAGTATAAACTTCAGGCTTAAGTATAGAAATCAAATATTCATGAGAATAAAAAGAAGAAAGAAAAGAAACTTCAAAAAACATAGGGGTTGAACCCCTATTTTTGTTATAGGAAAAGAAGAAAAGAAGACAAAATTTCAAGTTCTTCCTTCCTTACTGGTTTAGGTCTTGAAGCCTTTGAGGGTTGAATACAACAGTTAACAATGTTTGTGTTGATTAAATCCCAACAAATAAGAAAATAATAAAAAGAAATTAGTATAGAAACAAACAAAATGAATATTTAAGTTTAATAATTCTATTTCTATTTTATAATTGTATAATCTCAAAAAATTATGAATATAAAAGTATTTTATAACACAACACACAAAACTGCTTGGCGATTAGGTGAGGCAAGCCTCCAAGGACGCCTTGTTGCCTAGGCTTCACCTTAACAACTATGATCCCAAGCAAAGACTACAAACATGGGGTGAAAGGCACATGTTTGGCCTTTTTCTTTGTAGCAAATCCTGGGTATTGATTTTTTGGAGTGCCACCTCCCAGCAGAAAGCCTTAATTTTTGAAGGCATGGGGCTATACCGAACCTCCTTTGTTGTTAAATTCCTAGTAAGGTAAGATGATTGAAGGACATTAAAGAAAGATGAACAGGTGAAAAAACCAAAAGGCGAAGGTTTCCAAATTCTGCTGTCCAAGCTAGATGGGTCTAGGTAGGCAGTCCCCAACAGAGCAACAAGTTCATCAACCATCCCCATTTCTGACTCCCTTAACCCTCTCCTCAACCCCAAATCCCACGAGTTATTAGTGAAAACCAAAGAGGTCACTTTTCTTTTCTTTTTGTTCTCTTGAGATGGAGTAAATGGAAGGGAACCTATATCTAAGGGAACTCTCTCCAACCCAAGTGTCTTCCTAGAGCAACACTTTGTTACCTGCACAGACATCATATTTGATAAAAGGAAGCATAATGGGTAATAGACTATGAGTAACTTTCTAGGGAGAACAAGGAGAAGCCCTAGGGTCGAGACCTACATTTCAACCATTGTCTGCCGATCCATGGATGGAGACTGCTGTTGGAATAGGACAGACTTTGGTAATATCGGAAGCATCATTGATGCATAACATCATTTCACTTATTTTTAATAAAATTTTTCTTCTTTACTCTTCAAAAAATATTTTAATTTTACTATTTTATTTCACTTTTTAGTCACTAATCTTCATTTCTATCTAATTCATTCCATGAATTATTTTTTAAGAATTAAAAGGGTTTTTTTGATAGGTATTTAATTCATTTTTTTAATTTCTATATTTTAAGTACAAATATATGAAACAATATTGGATCAAATCCAATATTTACCCTCTAACTTGCAAAGATTCCTATAGTGGCTAGATTATATAAGAAAATCATTTAATACATACTTATTATTGGCACTACGTATGCAAGTGTCTAACTATATATCCCTAAGCTTTGATTCAACATAGAAGGCTTGAAACAAGGAGGAGTTCAGATTTCCACTCTTCTAGCTAGACTGCATCAAGAATTTGACCAGCATATCAAATTATGGGTTTGAATTAGGTTTTTATATGGTTTGAATTCCCTAAATATCATAACTTTCTCAAAATTTTGAGATTTCTATTTGTTTCATGGTGGGATTCAAACTGGGTGCTCATGGTTGTTGTGAGCGTATCAACTAATTGATCTAGAGTCTCACCTCAAAATTGTAATAGTCTTACTGACTGCGGGGATGCGTTCAGGAAAAAAATGCAGTTACAAGGGAATTATTGCACCAGAGTTTGAATATCTCTCTATTGTGTATGTTCTGATTATTTTTTCCCATGTAAGAGTTGAAATGGTATTTTCTTATCATATGCAGGGATGGACCTATGCTTTAAATGGAGTACTTTTGAAGGCTACAAGAATATCAGGATTAAAGAACTTTGCCATAAATGTATGGTAGTTTGTCTTGGATCTCTTGGTAGCCAATGAATTGCGATTAGCTTTATCCTAAAACATGTTCTGAATGGGGATAGTCTTTGATGCCTTTTCTTTTCCTTTCCTGCGCCATTGAGAGTAGGAGTTTGGGCTTATTCCATTGAAAGTAACAACGTGGGGGCCTTTTGTGCTTATCAATCTGGACAAGGAGATACAACCTCAACAGGAAGCTGACAGCAAGATGGTGGAAAATGAATGGCTTGGTAGCTGTTCAGACATATTGAGTACCAATGGAGTTGATTCTTCACTAAGTTATGTCTGTAGGCGTGAATATATCATTGAATGTAACTGGAAGGTTTGGTCCTATAATATATGAATTTCATATGAAATGCATGTACAAGTTTCTTTTAATTGGAATATTCAGTCCAACTGTTTCTTTATTATATGGTTCTCTTCATGTGTCTACATTTCTGAACATCATAATGTTCATTCATTTCTTTATGCAGGTATTCTGTGACAACTACTTAGATGGTGGTTATCATGTGCCATATGCACACAAGGATCTTGCATCTGGTCTTAAGCTCGAGTCCTATTCTACCACAGTATGTTCACTATTTAGATTTCTTTTCTGTTAAAGAAACCTGAACAGTTTCTTACATATCCAAAACCAGAAGTAAAAGTGGTTCACTACACTATTTTTATATGCCTTCAGGTGTAGACAAAGATCTTGCATGGTCATAAACATGATTGTGCTTGTTGTTGTTTAGCTTTATTTTCTATTATAGAAACAAGGACAATTTCTTAGATATCTAGAAATTGTGGATATTCTCTATAGTAGGTTTCCTGTTATATGAACTACTTCAATCTTTTGTATCTATAACTTTTGAGGTCCCGATATCTGACAAATAACTTGTGGTAAAATAGATACTTGAGAAGGCTAGCATCCAACAATGTGAAAGTTGTGTAGAAGGAGGAGATGATTTTGACCGGCTTGGATCAAAAGCCCTATATGCTTTCATTTACCCAAATTTCATGATCAACAGGTGATTGTTTCATGTGGTACACTTGGTTTATTTGTTGTTTCTGTAAACCAATCATGACAATTTTTGTCCCTAATTTACTTAAGAACTTTTTTATTGTAAGGTATGGCCCTTGGATGGATACAAACCTAGTACTTCCATTGGGATATCGTAAATGTCAAGTGATATTTGATTATTTCCTTGAATCTTCTCTGAAGGTAATTTGCTTCTCTCTGCTTCTAAAAATCATTAGAATTGGAATACATCTAGAAGTCATGTCACTGTTGTTTCAAATTATGTCTCCACTTCATGCAACTATTACAGCAAAAAGTATGTGCATAATTTCATATTAATGTAAATGGAAATACATGTATATTAGTTTTGTAGTTTATTGCAATACATTTTTGTACTTTAAATGACTCTACTTGTGGTGCTTTCTGTAATCTGAAAGAGCTTTTATATCATGCATATTTGGTGAAAATGATTCTATTGTTTTCCTATAAGCTGCATTCAGAAATAATCTTGAATCAAAACTTTCAGAGTTTAAGTGTTTGTTAGGTATTGCAACCTGTTTATGGCCTCTCTGGTGCAGTTCAAGACAACGTTTTCAATGTGCTAAGTTGAGGCAAGCAACAGCTGACCTCCTTGTCACTTAGAGCATGCCCAGTCATAAGCGGCGATTTTTTTTTTTTTTCACATAAAAATTTGGGTGTCTGCTATATTGAGACAACGCCATCTAGCCTATGAGAAACCAGTGAACCGATCTCTATTCCACTAATACATATAGTGAGGATGTGTATATGCGTGTGTTACTGTTTTCAATAAAAAGACAGAAGAAAATAAGTATATCAGGGGATGGGGCCCTTGCTATTTTGAAACGTGAGCAAAATGAAAGGGCTAATCCCTTGTTCTGCTAACCATTAGAGTGGACTGATTACAGAGGGTTTAGAAGAAGGGGCAAAACCTATTTTTTAGGTCTTTAAGTTGAAATTTGGTCATTTATGATGCCCTTCTACACCATTTTATCTCATTATACGATATTAATATTGGTTTAGCTGCACGATACCTAAAACTAGTACACCTTCTATATGGAAACAGCAAGGTCCTGGCAAAACACCTTAGGCATTTCCTTGACAACTATTCTCCTACATATCTTCTAGTGTTTCTAACCTATTGAACCTCATTTTTCCACAAAGTTGTGTGAAAAAGCAGGACTGAGTCTGTAGCTAGGGACCCATCAAATTGTGTGGGTCCCAGTGTTACATGGACATGGACATGGGAATAAGATATCTTTTAGTAAGTTGGACTCCAAAGGTCGAAAATATTCAACACTAGGTGGAGCCATGAAAATCAAATGCAATTTTAAGGTTCTAATTAAAGGAGAAGAGTATGGAGGTTTGCATTATCTTGTTGGGAGTATTGTGATTCCCACTATCTCAATGCTTGGAAATTGGGTGTAAATGGTAATTCCTACTAGGGGAGGGGATCAAAGTCCCTCTATGGAGTTTACTATTTGGGTTATCTTAGGTCAGCCACGCTTCTGCATGGGCCCGGTTTATAGAATCAAGTATGGTCAAGAGAAGGTGATTTGGTTATCTGTAGCTTGTGGTAGCGTATCAAGGCTACTGGATTGTTTGTGGGTTAATAGACAAGTGGAGATGATTAATGAATGATAAGGAAAGACCTTTAAGGTGGCTTGAAAACAAACCAAGGTGGATACTGTTAAAGTTTCTCTTGTTTTGTACAACTTCTGAAAAAAGAAAGCAGCAGTTTTATGGGGTTTAAAAGGTAGTTAATTAGAATGAGAATAGTGTTCTATATAAGGCAGGCCAAAAATGGCAGTGGTGGAGGGTCTTGTATGATGGTTGTGTGAGGGTATTTCCTACAAGGAGGTTATTAGAGTTGGCCAAGTAGGGGTAACTTAGTCTTTTTCATTTTACTTTAAGTGGTGACTTGGCAATACTGTTTTAATTTAAATTTCTTGTACCATACTTAAGTAGGAGCATATCTGACTTTGTACCCTTAATGAATATAATAAAATGTTATGTTCGACTAGGGGGGTTTAGTCTCGCTAGTTCGACAAATTTCTCCTTTCTCCTCCTCTCTTCTTCTTCTTCTTCTTCTTCTTCTTCTCTCTATCTCTGAACAGAACTTGTTTGAACCATCAAAACATGGTATCAGAGCAATAAATACGAAAAAAGGAAGGCCATCTCAAAGTTTCTGGACCTGCGATCTCTCTTCTTTTTTTCTCCTTTTTTCTGGGCTACGATCTGGGTTACACCAAGTAGAAGGCTGCGGCAACCTTTTTGGTGATTCCAGGACTGCCGCAATCTCCATTACACAGGTGTTAGGAAGGTGCAACAGCTCTAGGTTGGTGATTCTAAGATTTCTGTCACCATGAGTGACAGCCCTAGTGTTTGTGTGGTCATGTGTATGGTGGTTCAGACCCTCTACTGAGCAGTTTCAAGAGGGTTTTCTTCCTTGTTTGTTGCAGTTATGGTGGTTGGCTATCAATAATGGTGTGATGAATTTTTTTTTTTGAAGATGGCCGAATGGGTCTGAATGTCTGATGGTGGTAGTATTTTTTTAGTGGCTGGCTGAAAGAGTGCCGTAAGGTGATGTGTAGACTGCAGCAGATAATTTTCTTTGGTTGGTTGATAATTCAAAAGTAGGAAGAGCAATTGATAGTTACTTGTATTGAGAACACCATGGCAGCAACTGGAGATGGAGGTAATGATCAGAAATCTAGTGTCATGATCCCCTTAGACTACTTAGGTGTGCAAATGACATTAATTAAACTTAATGGTGAAAATTATGTGCCCTGGGCCAAGTCGGTAGAGGTTTTTCTCAAGGCCAAGAGGAAGGTGAAACATGTGAAGGAGGATAAACCATTAGTTAAATCTCCAAGGTTTGATGATTGGGAACAAGAGGATGCCCAAATCATGACATGGTTATGGAACAATATGGAATCCAAGATGAGTGCAAACTTTATGTTCTTAGATGCAGCCAAGGAAATATGGGAACATGCAAAGAAACTTTATTTTGGACAGGACAATACTACGAGAGTATATTAGCTTTATCAGGAGTACTATTATTTACAACAAGGAAATCAAACCCTTGAAGAGTACTATGCTAGTATGAGGGACCTCAGGAATGAACTTAATGTCTATCACCCCCTCACTTCAGATGTCAAAATTCAACAACAATGGGAGCAACTTGATGTAACCAGGTTTTTGGTAGGGCTGAAATCAGAATATGAACCAGTTAGAGCACAAATATTGGGAGGTTATGCTCTTCCTACACTTGAGGAAGTATTTGCTTGGGTCCATAGGATTTCCCTGGGACCCATAGAGTACCACAACTTTTGCCAAGTCAATGTTGTAGCTAGAGGAGGTGAATGTGAAAGTAGAGGGGGAGGACATGCATTTCAAGAAGGCCATGGTAGTCCTATGTTTGGTCGTGGTGGAGGTCATGACTCAAGGGGAGGCTGTGGTAGAGGAAGAGGGCACACTACTAGGAAGTGTACACATTGTGGTAGGGAAGAACATTCAATTAATTTCTACTATGATCTACATGGCCCACCTTCCAAATGGGATAACCATGTAGTAGCTTGTAGTGCTGATGTGAGTGATAATCAATAGACAGATCAAACACATTCTACATCTACACGTGCTTCTGGGAAGGAGATGATGAGTGTACCACGAGATGAGTATGAGAGGTTCCTTCAGGCCGCTTCACAACAGAACACTGCTACCCTTGCTCATTCAGGTATGGCTTGTTTGGCATCCAAACCTTCTCATTGGATCATTGATTCTAGAGCCTCTGATCACATGACCRGGACTTCAGGTGTGTTCTCTTCCTTCTTTGAAACTTCCACATCCCAAATAATTACCCTAGCCAATGGTTCTTCTTCTCCCATTTGTAGTGTTGGTAATGTTGATACTGCATCACTTTCTTTATCCTTTGTTCTATATGTGCCTAAATTTCCATTCAGCCTTATGTCTATTAGTAAATTAACTAAGGCCCTTCATTGTTCTTTTACTTTTTACCCTTCATCTTGTGTTTTTCAGGATCTCAAGATGGGGAAGAAAATTGGTGGAGGGCATGAAGCTAGTGGATTGTATTATCTTGACGGTGGTGGATCTTTAGTTGCGCTTCAGACTTCCCTGACTCCTCTCCAATGACACTACCGGCTGGGACATCCATCTCTCAAAGCTCTGAAGCTACCAGTTCCTTCTTTGAGTCATTTGTCTTCTTTGTAGTGTGAGTCATGTCAGTATGGGAAACACCACCGTGTTTCCTTTAGTCCTAGGGTTGATAGCCGTATGTTGTCTCCTTTTGCTTTAGTCCATTCAGATGTTTCGGGTCTAATTGGAATTGAGTCCTATAGTGGTTACAAGTATTTTGTCATTTTCATTGGTGATTGTTCAAGGATGACATGGATTTATTTAATGAAAGAAAGAAGTGAACTGTTTTCTATTTTTCAAAAATTCCATGCTGAAATACGTATGCAATTTGGTGTTCTAATAAAAATTCTTCATTCAGATAACGATAGAGAATACTTTCTTACTTCCTTTCAACAATATTTGGAACAACATGGCATCATTCATCAGGCTTCGTGTGCATCCACTCCTCAACAAAATAGGGTGGCTGAACGAAAGAATCATCATCTTCATGAGACTGCTTAGTCTATCCTTCATCATATGAATGTTCCTAAGCGTTTTTGGAGTGATGCAATTCTCACATCTTGTTTCCTCATTAATCGGATGCCATCATCCATCCATCATGGTCGGTATCCCTTTTCTATTTTGTTCCCCACTTTATCTCCATTTCCATCAACTCCCTAGGTCTTTGGGCGTGTATGCTTTGTTCATAATCTGGGCATTGGTTTAAACAAGTTGGATGAACGTTCTATTAAGTGTATCTTTCTTGGCTATTCTCAAACCCAGAAAGGGTATAAGTGTTACAATACTATCACTCATAAGTCATTTGTTTGTCCTGATGTCACTTTTTTTTGAGTCTGTGTCATTCTTCTCAGGTCCTGATGTCCCAGCCTCTTCACCATTGATTCCTCTTCCTCCTCCCATTGGTGATCCCATTCCAATTGTTCCTTTTATGCCTGAGCCTTCACCTCCTCTAGTGCAAATTCCTACTAAATGACCACCAATCCAGCATGTGTATACTCATCGACAGACACCGGTACCTCCTCCGGCTTCTA